GGTAACTGGCAAAAATATCAGAAACAGAAAAATGAATCATTTAATGTTAACATTTTCATGCACACATACATACACTACTTAGGAACTATATACATATTAAAAGTGATAGAGAAAACATTCATGTCAATAAAATCAAGAATAGATTTCCCTGTTTGAATCTTATAATTTATTTCTGGTTGATTCTCTGTATTTTTTAAACATGCTAGGGCAAAAACACATGACGATATGATATAAATTAGAGCTCTTGCTTCTGAATCTTTTATTCTTTTGAAAATCTCTATCACTAGTGTTGAGTGCTATTTTAGATTTAACAGAGTTGAACATATATTAGTAATAAGATTCTTGTAAATATTATAGAAAATACAAAGATGTGAAAAGAATTCTATTTTTGGAATATGTTGTTCAGTTGCTCAGTCGGGTCTGACTCTTTGCGACTCCATGGACTGCAGCACGCCAGGATTCAGTCTGTCACTGTTTCCATTGTTTTCCCCATCTATTTGCCATGAAGTGATGGAACCAGATGCAATGATCTTCATTTTTTGAATGTTGAGTTTTAAGTCAGCTTTTTCACTCTCCTCTTTCACCTTCATCAAGAGTCTCTTTAATTCCTCTTTGCTTTCTATCATAAGGGTGGTGATACCTGCATATCTGAGTTTACTGATATTTCTCCCTCCAGTTGAGATTCCAGCTTGTACTTCATCCAGCCCGGCATTTCGCATGATGTACTCTGCATATAAGTTAAATAAACAAGGTGACAATATAGTCTTGATATACTCCTTTCCCAATTTTGAACCAGTCCATTGTTCCATGTCTGGTTCTTATTGTTGCTTCTTGACCTCCATACAGGTTTAGAAGGGGGCAGTTAAGGTGATCTGATACTTCCGTCTCTTTAAGAATATTCCACAGTTTGTTGTGACCTACACAGTCAAAGGCTTCAGCGTAGTCAGTGAAGCAGAAGTAGATGTTTTTCTGAAATTCTCTAGCTTTTCCTATGATCCACTTGTTGTTGGCAGTTCGATCCGTGGTTCCACTGCCTTTTCTAAACCCAGGTCGGGCACCTGGAAGTTCACATACTGTTGAAGCCTAACTTAAAGGATTTTGAGCATTACTTTGCTAGCTTGTGAAATGAGTGCAATTGTGCAGTAGTTTGAATATGAGTGTTGAGTATATTAAAAATGGAAACAATCAGACCTGAGCTTAAGTAATGAAAACTCACAAAACTCAAGAACCCTACTAAACACAGGTGAGTGTTCATTTTTCCAAAGCAAACAGAGGAAAACACGGATTTCTCATTAACTGTGGCAGCTTATTCACACTCCTCACTAAATCGTTCAAAGATTTTTATTAAAGATAAAGAGAAAAAGTATGAACGTTTAGTGCTGGAATCTCAGAGAACCACCTGAACCAATGGAACATGAGGTGTAATGGGATAAATGTTAGCAGTGATCTGAATCTCTCCTGAAAAAATACCAGTTTTATGCAAATTTCTCTTCATGTATAACTTCCAATGTTCTGTATGTTAAAAGTACAGTTAAGCATGAGTCCTTCCTGCCAATATAGATAAGAGTGTCTCACAGTTTTCTTCTCTATCTTTTCCCCAAACTTTCTGTAGAATTCTGAACCGCTGAGGTAATTCTATTTATAAGGACATTTTTTAAATCCTTTTCTAAATGTCTGAAGTTGCACCTACATGTAAATTCATCACTAATTTTCCCCTACTTCTCTAAGATCCCAAGACTGAAGCACATCCCAGTAGGATTCTCAGAACCTATGCCTCCCTGGATTGCTCACACAAAGGAAATGTTTTCACCAGTTGAGAGTCATTAATTCATGTTGAGAATCTGTCATACTCCATAGAAAGCCGGGATACAGACAATGCAGAAAAGACTCTAGGACTAAGGGAGATGTAGTCTAAAGAGCCGGTCTTCACTACTATAAGAAAAAAAGGAAAAAATAAGTTGATAACAAATGCCCCGGGCAGAAATATTAGAAGCAGAGAAGTAAAGGTTTGCAGATTCTCAGTCCAGGAATTTCAGGAGGAAAAGCAGACACAGCCCCAGACCTGGGACAGGACATGTACCCAAGAAGCTGCCATTTCCTCCTCATCTTCCTCCTGCTCTGTCTTCTCTGGGGATGTTATGTTGCAAATTCACACCTGTGTCTTGAGATACGTTCAAAGGCATCCGGACAGCTCTTTAACCTGTAACCACCTCACCTAGACAGAAGGACCTTGAAAAGCTGAAAAGACCCACCTCTCCTGTCCTGTTTCAGGAGATATTCAGGAACAATCACTTCCTACCTGGAGACCAGCCTGTGAATTTACTTCTTGATTGTTCACTCCCCACAGAGAGCTCCTAACCCTCTGCTCACACAGACCATGTGAGCTGACTGACTTCTCTGGTCCGAATCCAGCTAGACCAATGCTGCTGCCTCTCCTCAGACTGAAGCTGGGCCTCAGCTCTCACAAATGGACCAGGAGCCATGTTCTTAAGCCGGGCTCCCCCTCAGAATCCCCTGGAGCACTTCCTACAAACCACACTGATGTCCGCACAGGACCAACACAAAACTCTGTGGGGAGGGCACCGGGGAGGTTACTTCCTGACACTGGTTACGTGACCCTGATGGGAAACAGATGGAAACCACTTGGCTAAGGATTCTTGCTGAATCATTTCAGTGAATACAAATCACTCAAGGCCAGGGCCCCACTCTAAGAAGCTATGAATCTGCAGGTCTGAGGTGCAGAAATGAGTCTTTACCAGGCTTCCCATATGTTCTGATGTTTCTTCCTCAAGACCCACATTCAGACACCCAGAGCTCAAGCCCTCCCACTCAGCACACCTGAGACCTCTCTGGTAGGGGAGGATTTAGAATGGGAACTTCTGAGGGAGGTCAAGGCTAGAATCAGGCAGAGAAAGTTCCAGTATTTGGGGTTCAGGCCTTTCTAAGTGACCCAGGGTGAAGCGCTGTGGGCTCCTCAGGCTGAGTGTGGGTGGGTCCATTCAAACCAGAGGAGCAGGATTCTGGTGAGTTCTGAGGGTGTCATTGAAGGGGGGCCTGTGAAGTAGACCCTGGGGTTCAGCAAGCCTGCTGGTCTCAAGGAAAGGGGTCTTCTGGTGCAACTGCTCACAGGACTGGCTGGTGTGAGTTCAAGGACCTGCAGGCTGCCTGCTCCCCAGACAGATGCTGAGGCAGCAACAGCATGGAGCAGCTCAGGGGAGCTCTCAACAGTACTCTGTATGATCCTTCTTATGAGAACCATCACAATGCCCCTGCAGCTACAGAGAGGGGAAAAGTACAATGGAGAAATGATGGGAAATACATGATCAAATGATTTGAGGCTTAAGGGCAGTAAGGAAACTACTCACTGTTACAGATGCCATCCCACTGTGCTACCAAAGATTTCACTGTTATGTGCTCTTCCTTGCAACCTTAAATAAGATGGGAGAGGTTAATGGTGTTGGTAGGTTAACACTTCATTCATTCACACCAACAACCACAAGAAGCCATTCAGTTTTATTGATTAACATGTATGAACATCACACACAGTCAGAATAAAGCCTTTTATACTCCATTGTGTAACTTTGATTAAAAGACAGATTACAAGCATAAAAAATATTCATTCCTCTGATATAATGATCTGAGAACTGTGATTTCTACGGTTACAAAATGGAGGCTAATCATTTAAGAAAGAAGACTTACAATAATTACAGGAATTTTCTGGGAAGGGTTTCCCATACATTTTAGGGTATCAGAAGTTATTTGAAATATGTTAAACACTCATAATTTCTGCTGATATTATAAAACACATCAAGATTTCAGTGAACTGTCATTATATTAACCTTTAAAAGCATAACTTAATAATTTACATCTTTAGTATGTGGAATTATTCCCTGAACACTTACATCATGGCGACCTACAGGGATGTGTGACATGAATGACAAGCACCACCATTTAGATGTTTACTGTACATGTTACATTACTGTGTCCTTAATCTTCTAATGGAGAATATATATAAATGATTTCTCTCTAGATAGAAGGGCTTCTCTCGTCTTTGAGGTACCAACTATCAAAAACGTAAGTTTGCATGCACACTAGAAATGAATCATACCTTGGAGTAAGTAGATAGTTGAACTACATTCATTTTCAAATAATCACAAATCATGTCAGTATAAACAAGGATACATTGCTAATAATTTTACCTTTATAAAAACATCAACCTTTCATCTTGTGATCCACACTAACACATCAATTTTCTATCTGTTTTAACTGTTGATTACTACCTATAGTACTTCTCTTCAAGAGGAACTTCAGAAAACAGGATTGATGTAAAGTTTTCTAGTATGGATTTTCTGATATTTATTTAGATTTCATTTTTCATTAAACCATTTTCTACATTTTTTTTTCTTTTACATTTCTACATCATTCCATATCTTTCTTATATAAATGGTCTCGTGTTTTCCGACGTGTATGTTTAGGACAAACTTCTTCCATCACTTATTTCATTATGAGGGTTTCTCTCCAGTATGTGCACTGAGATGCCTAGTGAGATGACTGCTGTGCCTAAAGGCTTTGCCACAATCTCTACATTTATAAGGTTTCTCTCCAGTATGAATTCGCTGGTGTTTAGTAAGAGTTGAGGATTGACTAAAGGCTTTTCCACATTCTTTACATTTATAAAGTTTCTCTCCAGTATGAATTAACAGATGTTGAGTAAAACCATAGCGCTGGCTAAAGGCTTTGCCACAATCACAGCATTTATAAGGCTTCTCTCCAGTATGAATACGCTGGTGTTTAGTAAGAGTTGCATTTTTATTAAATGCTTTTCCACATTCTTCACATTTATAAGGTTTCTCTCCAGTATGAATTCGCTGGTGTTTAGTAAGAGTTGAGGACTGACTAAAGGCTTTTCCACATTCTTTACATATATAAGGTTTCTCTCCAGTATGAATTAACTGATGTTGAGTAAAACCATAGCGCTGGCTAAAGGCTTTGCCACAAACCTTACATTTATAAGGCTTCTCTCCAGTATGAATTCGCTGGTGTTTAGTAAGAGTTGACTTTTTATTAAATGCTTTTCCACATTCTTTACATTTATAAGGTTTCTCTCCAGTATGAATTCGCTGGTGTTTAGTAAGAGTTGAGTATTGACTAAAGGCTTTTCCACATTCTTTACATTTATAAGGTTTCTCTCCAGTATGAATTAACTGATGTTGAGTAAAGCCATAGCGCTGGCTAAAGGCTTTGCCACAATCCTTACATTTATAAGGTTTCACTCCAGTATGAATTCGCTGGTGTTGAGTAAGATTTGAGTTTTTATTGAAGGCTTTTCCACATTCTTTACATTTATAAGGTCTCTCTCCAGTATGAATTCGCTGGTGTTGAGTAAGACCATAGCACCGGCTAAAGGCTTTGCCACAATCCTTACATTTATAAGGTTTCTCTCCAGTATGAATTCGCTGGTGTCGAGTAAGATTTGAGTTCTGATTAAAGGCTTTGCCACACTTTGCACATTTATAAGGTTTCTCCCTAATGTGAATTTGCTGATGTTGACTAAGAGTTGAGAAATAGATAAACACTTTGCCACATTCCTTACATTTATAAGGTTTCCTGCCAGTATGGATTTGCCGATGTTGACTAAGATTTGAACTCTGATTAAAGGCTTTGGCACATACTGTACACTTGAAAGGTTTCCTTCCTGAATGTATTTTCCTATGTTTACTTATATTAGATGAGTTACTGAAGACTTTCCCACATTTATTACACTTGCAATGTTTCTGTGGATTCTGAATTCTCTGCTGTTTAATAAGATTTGAAGACTGATTAGAAACTTTACCATATTCACTACAATTGTAAGTTTTCTCTCCACTATGAATACTCTTATGTAGAGAAAGATCTGATGCTTGATAAAAGATATTCTTACTTTTATTACTTTTAGAATCCTTGTGTGAAGATTGAGCTCCCTGATATTCCATAAAGTTTGAGTCTTGTTCAAAGTTATGCCCAGGTTCATTGCATGAATAGACCTTCACTCCATCATAAGTAATAGTGTAATTATTGGAGCTGGAGGTCTTACTTAAGGTCTGACTCATTTTATTACACATGGAAAGTTCTTCCCTATTAACCATATCATGGGATGTATTGAATAATGTTGGTTGGATTACATCTCTTCCATTATCATCAACATTATACATCTTGGAATGGAGAGAAAATATCTGTTGATGGAAGAACAATGACTTCCTAATCACAGATCCTTCAAATTGATTATATTGTGAGTTTGCCCCATCATTTTTAAATTTCTGGTTTTCAGACATGTTTAAATATATGTTGAATTGAAGCCTATGCTCAGAGTGGTTTGAATGAGTATTTACAGTAGAGACTGGAGGACCTTCCAGATTTTCCATATTTCCTTTCAGAGAACAACTATGTTTCAAAAAATGATGTAAATTTTTTCTGAAAAAGTTACACTTCTCAGCAGATGTTGAAGACTGAAATGAGTGTTTCCCCCAATTTGACTCAAGTAGTTCATTTCTTTCTACAATAATGTCTGCATTATGTGTAACTGTCTCAATTTCGTTATGTCCATGTAAACATCCTCTCTGTCTTTCACACGCCCTTGTATGTTCTGAGTCTTTCATTAATTGCAAGTTTCTGAGGTGAAATCTTTCATATATTCCTAGGTTTGCTTTTGGGAACAAATCTTCTACCCTTGGTTTCTTTGGCATCAAATCCTGGGTGTCTTGAGGAGATATAGCTGGAAGATACCAAAGAATAAGTCTTTTTACTTACTATTCTCAGTGAATACCCTTAATGATTTAGAGAAAATTGATGAACCCTTCGCGAGCGTAAAAATAAAATAGAGAAGGGAGGATCAAGATGCCAGAGGGTTAGACAGACATGGACTTCATCTCTCTCCACAAATGCATCAAGCATACATCAGAAATGGAATACTTCTCCCAGAGCCCAGCTGAACACTAGCAGAGGACCTTGGAAATCTAAAAGGACAAGAAAGATTCCTGCTGAGCTAGGTAGGGCCAAAGAAAGAAGAAAGAAAAAGAACAGGAAAGGCAATGGGATGGGGCCTGCAACCCTGGGGGGATCTGAAGAGAGGAGAGGTCTCCACCTCTGGAGAAGGCCCTCACTGGGGGAGCCCAGTTGGGACAGAAGGCAAGCCTCATCCTCTGTGGGAAGAGAACAGGGCAGCAGTGAAGAGGCAGCAGGACAGAGGAGACCTGCACATGGGTACTGCCCCTAGCCCTGCCCACCCAGCCTGAGAGGGTGTGCACCGCTGCAGACAAGGGCTGGGTGCTGGAATGCGGGGTCTGGAGAGCAGACCCAGGCAGAGCACTGCTGTGGGGTGTGAGGAGACGTCCTATGGGAAGGGCACGGAGGGAGGAGCTCTGCAAACAGGAATGCTTGGGGAGGAGGCCTGAACCACCATAGCGCAGAGCGCCATTGCTGAGTCATGCCCAAAGCGAAGACCCGCCATTGTTTGTAGCCTCTCTCCCCCTGTGCTGGCCCGTCCTCACCAGGCACGAGGAAGGGCTCCATTAGGGTGGGTGCTCTCATGAACTCAGCTGTTGCCTCTTCCTCTGCGCCCCCCACTTCCAGGATAGACTGGTGGGCTCTGGGAAACCCCGGGAGCAGGGGCCTCTAATTTATCCACATGCACGGAGTGGGCTGAAGCACTGCTGAGCCCCAGGGTCTGGCAACTTAAGGAAGGAGAGCTGATATCTCCACTGGAAGCTGCACCAACTCGTCTCTATACCATCACAGCTGTCGTTGTAAACTCAGCCCCTATAGAGCATCTGAGTGGACAAGGAGGGCTCCCCCAGTCACAGCAGGTGTAGCTGTAGCAGCTGGAGACTTTGTGGGCTCCCACACTAGGGGGTGGGGCCAGGCCGGAGTCTGAGCTGCCCCCACAGCACCACAGTGGGTCCAGCTCCATAATGAATGCAATCCTGGGCCCTGACTTCAAGGATCTATGCTGGTGACCTGCTGAAAACAACATCTGAGAGACCCCAGGGCCATGTGCCGGCATACCCATGGTTGAGGTGGGGCCAAGGGCAGTGCCAACCAGGGTCACACGAGACTCGCCCAATGGGTGAAAGTGACGCACAGAGCACATCCCAAGGGGAACATCCCCAGAGCAGGAATTCTCAGGGCCTTCTCTCCCAGGGGTGTGCTCCAATCCCACCTGCCTCCACACAGATCAGAATCACAGTGAAGAAACAGATCTGGGGGCTCTGTTCCACCAACCAGGGCGCAGACCCACCACAGACAGGGCGGTGGCAGCCACAGAGCCAAGGGGAGGCTCCCCTCAATATCCAGGGCAGGCTTGGGTCACAGAAACAGCAGTCAAAAGTCCATCAAGGGGGTAAGCGCACAAACCTCTGGACCAACCTCACCCACTAGGGGACAGACACCAGGAGCAAGAGGAACTAGGATCCTGCAGCCGGCAGAACGCAGACCACAAACACAGAAGATGTGACAAAATGAGAGGGCAAAGAAGCATGTTGTAGAGGAAGGAGCAAGATAAAAACCTGCTTAGATAAAAACTACGTGAAGATGAGCGAGGCAATCAAATGATTACTTTCTGCTTAAAGTCCTCTTAAATTGAGACACCAAACATTTTCACAAGGACTAGGTGCCTACTAATCCTTTCATTTACTTCTTATCACCTGCGTTTTTATTTGAGAATGTTCATTAGATGTTTGAATCTAAAAATCATAAATGATATGACATAGAACTAATGTCCTAGCAAGTGAGGACATATAAGAAAGAGTCCAGGGAAGCTCGTGATGAGCAACATAAATTAACAAAGTAGTAGCTCTTAAGACATTAAATAAGAAGTGAGACTTTAAAAATATGATGGATCTAAAAAAAAAAAAAAAATGATGGAAACACATGGGACTCTACTCAGTACTCCTTGGAGACCTAACTGGGGAGGAAATCTAAAACAGAGTGACTATATGTATGTATAATTGATAATGTTTTCTGTATAGCAGCAGAACTTTGTAAAACAGCTACAGTCCACTAAGAATTTAATAAAAAGACTTCTGTATTTTTTCAAAAAATCTTGACAGTTTGAAACAACCATTACAAATATGGAAAATGTTCTAAGTTCTCATGCCAATTTATTTTAAAATTCTTTGAGTATATTAAAGTGTTTTACCATTCGGGAATTGGGACAAATACACTTAGGTATTTAACGTGAGTTCGTATAAAGAGAAGAGAAACTTTAAAGTAACCATGAGACTTTCATTTTCCCATTTTAGGGAGGTTTTGCTTTATGCAGTGAAGACATTACTTAAGTTTGAAATGAAGAAGGTCATATCTGTAGTTTCCAGTGGATTGGAAACTATAAATCAGAAAAACAAAAAACAAACCTGTCCCAACTCTTCCTAGGACTTTGGCAGTATGTCTATGACTTCACTTACACAGTTATGTTTAAAGGTAGAAACAAACTTTAAAAGGAGTATCATATAGTCACTCAGAAGTGTGCACAGTTTTCCTAGGATCCCCAAGAAATGAAAGAGCAGCCAACTCATGCAGGTTGTCACAGGCCAACAGGAGAATTTAATTCTCACTGTGAGTGAGAAAAGCAATCACTGGAGATGAATTCATGAATAATTAAAGAGACCGAATGGGGCAGGTGACAGCCATCTATGACAGCAACAGAAATAAACTCAGAGGTCTCCAAAATCATTTCCACTGAAGCAGATCTTCCCAAACCACATGATAAAGGACGACTTCCCACTGATTCTCACAGAATCAGCGATACGTATATACAGCCACTCTGTTTAGATTTCCTTCCCAGGTAGGTCTCTCACTCTACCTCTCACCTGAGTCATCGGCTCCATCCATTCACACCTACCTGGGTATATGCCTGTTGTCTGCATTCTCCTTATATTCCTGAGACCCTTCATTTGCTCCAGAAAGGTGACCAAGTCTGGCTTAGAGACCACAAGACCTGTTCATCAGAGAAAGGAATGTTTGTTGTGCTAGAGGTTCATCAGTTTCCAATCCAATATGTATTCAGGCGAGAAAAGAACGCATGGGTGAATGTTAGAACAGCCCAGAGAACGATTCCCCAAATACTCCCCCCACCAAATACTTTATTGAAAGTACCTATATAATGCTAACTAATACAAAAAAGTTAGGTCCTGAGATTCTGGTCAAGTGGCACTAAGGCAAAAGTAAGTAGTGGAAATGTGAAATTAAGAGAAGGTACAACTATTTAATACCACAGAACTTACACAATTACCACTAACCTAGAAGGAGGCAGATTACATAAAGGAAGATAAAGGTTACAAGCATAATGATTCATCATATGAAGCCTTTCTTTCTAAACTCACAGATACTCATTTCCACCTACAAAGCAGAGATCTGAAAGAAATGTGCGGAGCAGAAAATTTCAGAAGATATTCTAGAAATGAAGGAACCAAAACCATGAGGTTTAGATAATCGATTCTGGAAGGCAGTTGTCCTCACCCAAGGAAGCCAGGTTCCTATAGTTCTCTACCATCACATCCGTGTACAATTCCCGCTGACCGAGGTCCAGGCATTCCCACTCCTCTTGAGTGAAGTCTATGGCCACATCCCGGAACGTCATCCGTCCCTGAAATACAAAGTACAGATGCCATATGGCCATGGGAAGACTTCCTAATGTGA